AACTGCAAAACACTAGTGCTGGCTAATGTTTTGCAAAATATTAAAAGTGAGGCTATTGCAGTAGACCTAACGTTAGTCTAGTAGCCTCACTTCTAATATTTTGCTAAACATTTGCTAGATACATGTTGCCTAGCTAATGAGCTTCACATATCAACCTGAAAAACTGCGAGGGTCGACCCCTAGTTTGCAGACGGTATGTAAAGGTTTTTTCCATTCCTTGTGGTTACCTGTGTCTTGCTCGGCATCCTTGATAACGGTTTCCTCTAGCGTCTCCTCCGCGTTTAAGTTTTGGGACATCCCATTATTGTATTTGATCATTTATTGCTCACTTCACTTGACCTGCAAGTTGTTGAGGAGCCAGGAGATGGAGACAAAAGTGAGAATTCATGAGACCAGCCTTCGTAGAAGTATTTTACCAAACTGACACCCCCCTTTTTTGGAAATACTGTATCTTGATGACTGTATCAGCTAATCAGACTGTTTTGACACACAGTTTCAACTAAAAAACCAACTCATGTGTATTACTTCCACGTTTACCATCAAGATAAAAATAACGGATATTACCTCTAGGTAAACAAAAATAACCATAAAGCACTTTTTAAATCCTCATTTCAGCAACAAGGCAAAATTGGAGTGACTTTCAACATTGGCACAGTGGATATCAGTGTGCAGGAGAGCAGTACCCCAGTGAATGATGGGAAGTATCACGTTGTTCGCTTCACCAGGAACGGTGGCAATGCTACACTGCAGGTGGATAATTGGTCAATCAACGAACACTTCCCAACAGGTAAAACAATACATTATCAATCTCATCTTTATGTTGAATAAAATATGTTGGCAATCATATAAGTTAGCAATTACAATGATCAATTAAAATGAAACCAACTGCTAAAGTAAAACAATTACCTTCAACAAGATATAATAAGGCAATAGGATAGCATCATTATAAAACAGGTGAGAGCATATGCTTCTAACCGAAGGGCATTATTAGTATTAAATGGTCTGTTTAACTCTTGAAATGGTTTCACCTTGAGTGCTTAAACAGTCCTGAAAAGAAGTATACCCACTTTGAGTTAGCACATGGTGGCATATACAGTGTCTGTCAGTGCTATATTGAGAGCAGGCTACGAGGTAACTAAGTAGATTTACTCTAATACTGTACAATTTTGAGATACTGGTACTTTACTTGAATATTTCCATTTAATACTACTTTGTACTTTTACTCCACAACATTGATTTTAAAACTAGCTGCACCTTTACCTTTGATACACATTAATACATCAATAATTATAATCAACACATATCATATGTTATTCTGAAATATTCAAAATATGTACTTTTACTTTTGGTACTTTAAGTTTATTTTGATGCTTATACTTTTGAACTTGTACTTGACTGATTGAGAGAGTAACACGGCAACAAAAAGCTGTCACACACACACACACACACACACACACACACACACACACACACACACACACACACACACACACACACACACACACACACACACATACACACACACACACTAAGTCAACTCTCGGTCAAAACTACTGCAGGAAACCTGAGAAGGCACCAGACACACACACACACAAACATACATGAAAACAATGCATCATCTGATCATCTCTTAGGAACAATAACTCAGTAAAGCCCACATCACACTGTCCTGAAATTGACACCCGATGGACACACGATAAAGGATGTGGCTCTCTGCTTTTGTACTCTTT